ACTACAAAATCTGTGCAACATAAATAAAACATCATGGGCCTTTCCCAACTGGAAGGATTTTTTTTGCTGCTGGCCTACATAAGCCGACCTGTCTTGCTGGGCTACTCAGCCACAGAGGCTGCTCCCAATTCTAAAGAAATCCCCCTCAGGCATTTCTGCACTCTGCCGCCCTGAGAAGTAGAGGTTTTTTTAAAGCAGGTATTGTGGTTTTTCAACAGATCGTGCTTTAACTAGGGAAAGCTCAGCTTATTTTTGCACCCGTCTCCACTGTCTCCAGAAGTCTGAGAATTCCACAAAGGCCACAGATATATTGTATAGCATGCTCCAATTCGGGCAGTTACACTTCAACAAATATACTGATTTCTGAGATATCAGTTTATACCTTGAATGACATAGTTACAACTCTGTTTGGGAATCGTCCCCCTGTTCCAAACAAAAAAAAGGCAAAAAGTATACAATCCCACCCCCACTTGGTCTAACAAGATCACTTCACAGACCAGTCAGAAAGTAAAATTCTAGGACTAGACTTTGATTAACTGTTCTAATGTGTATATATGCATGTGTGCTTTGGACACTCGCCCTAAGCCAGCTGTTGAGAAGTACTGAGTAAACACACCAAAATAGCTGGAAAATAAGTGGAGCTAAGCCAAGACAAAGACCTGTAAACAACAAATCATTTAGGCTAGGAAAGCAACTGTAGAGCAGAAATGGGGGAGCGGAGGAGCAGAACAGGGGGTAGGACCTGGTACAGAACAAGTTTTATACCGCTGTTAGCAAGAAAGCCTAACAGGAACACTGCAGTCTTCCCAGAAATCATTCATTAATTGTACAATGGCAAGGGGAAAAGGAATCTGTTCAAATGTAATCAGTGTGTCATGCTCATGGCAGACATCTTAACTGCCGTCACTACTTGGAGCAGATCATTTTTGGATCTGCCTCTAGCCATTTTTTAGCAATCAGGATCAGTTCCAAATGTGCCTCACCCTATACACATTTGACCTGAGCTGGATAAATCAATGGTGACTAAGTACAGAGAAGCTACACTGTTCTGGATGTCCATCTGTCAGAGCTTACGCTATTCCAGCAGCCCATCATTCACAGGTATAGCAACAGAAAAAGGGAAAAGAGTAAGAGGCAGTATATACTTCCAAGGACCTTCACATGATGCAAGATAAGAAAGAAAATTTCTACTACTTTTCTCTTATCTGAGAATCAGATTTGGGAAGAATCCATTCCCACTCATTTGTCTACACAGTGCAGCATTTATACTTTTTTAGTGATCACTCAGCGATAAGCTGTATACCTATGGTTGTACTCCAACAGCTATTAAATGTGAGATAATAACCGACAAACTGAGTATTGACTGTTGTCTTCTACACATGGTATCTAAATACAGAGCAATTACATTTCTGCTCTTTAATGGACTGATCCAGATAAATGTTGCATACCAAATTAAATCAGGGAGAGTTAACTGTCCTGATATCTCTCCGAACCTCAATTATTTTTCTGTGGTCATTTCTTACAGTGTTTTTTTCCTCAATGTTTGCATGCATAATGAATGGTGACAAATCATCAGACTATAGTCTCTGTACAGCCTCTGTGTGTGTGTCTTCACAAGACACTATGGCGCAGTAGCAACAAGCTACTGTGCCATACCTCATTGCTACCACGCAGTAGCATTGCCAGGCACTAACCGTGCAGCAACGATACTGCACATATGAAAACGAAAAACCCTACACAAACATCTTCGCATCTTAGAGTATGTGTGGATAACCAGACTTTAAGCTGAACCCTTTAAGTACCTTAAATTCTGGGTAACCGAATTTAAATCAGCTTTATACAGTATTTCTGATTTTATCTTTTAAAACTCTTTCTAGAATTTATGGTATGAAATCCTGGTACCACTTAATTCAACATAATGTTACATATTTACATTATGTTACATTTGTTATTGCTCACGTATCATAGTGAAAAGGAACATATATAAATTGATAGATAAATCTGCACCTGCATGACTGTTTGACTTCTGTTGCATTTTGTTGTCAACTTTTATCCTTTCCTTTTGATCCTGTGAATCTACTTACTTCCCTCCTTGCCCCTTGCTATAAGACTGGTTTCAATGTTTATATTTTCTCCTATTCACGGAAAACTTTAACTACAACTTAACTACAACTTTAGCTATATTTCCATCTGTACCATTACACAATCCCACCACCCAATCTTATAAATCAGTTTCTTTCCCATGAAGCAGCTCAAAGTTGTTTTACATTAATCAATATGGTATATTGTAGTGTGAGACAAAACAAAAAGAAAATATTCTAGTGTAAAAAATTCTGATGATGCAACAGAATTTCTTTATGTTGCTATGCTAATGATATAGCAGAATATTAATGTTCCCAACAGAGGTTATATTTGGGCTTAAGTGGCTTGGCTATCAAAGCAGTCTTGATTAACATGCTAACTCCCCACTTCTCAGTAATGCAGAAAGAAACAAGAAGCCAAAACAGAGGTTTAGGTGAAATATTAACCCCTCTGAACTCAACAGAACAAAGAATTCACCCCCAAATTTTAATGGTGACAATAGCTGACATCTGCATCTCTACTGTCTGCCATCTCTGCTCCATAATAATTGCTCTTAATACAGAGCTTGCTCAACAGAAAACATATAGTAAATCAGGAATACTTCACTACCTCCACCCTCTTGTCTGAGCAGATCTTGATCATAGATCTCAAGACTACCTACCGGGAGATGTCATCGGAACTGTCTAAGGGAGCAGAACTGTGGCCTGGACAAATAGAAGTCACTATGTTCTAAAGTTCCTCATGACCTGCCCTAACTCATGAAAGTTCATCAGAAGGAGGAGAAGGAAAAGGAATTGGGGACACAGGCAGATGATTTACAATGCATCTTTCTCCACTGCATTCTTTCCTAGAAAACTTAGGAAAATTTCACTCTCATGACAATTAACAATGATAAGAATCCTTAAGCTCCCCACTAATATCCAGCGTTCCAGCTAGTATCTGCAATGCAAGTTTCTACCTCTCTTCAGGATGATGGTTATTACCTTCTCTGTTCCAAGAATGTGATAAACCTTAAGATTGTATTTTCTGCCTTGATGTAACTTCCTAATTCTAATGTCTAGCACAGTCATCTAATCTGACTTGGTTCCTCCTAAATCAGTATGGAACGAGACACTATAATACTGTTATTCTGAACAGACCTGGCAGATCAAAGATGCGCACATCTCATTTGTCTAGAACACACTGACAGCTTTCCAGAACAACAGCTGGCAGTTTATAGATTAAAAAGGGGGTCTTTGCTAGCTCTCATGCACCTTCTTGCAACCAAAAGAGGCTCAACAGCCTATTTACCAGGCATGTATTCACTGTATGCCTGGAACACGTAAAATTACTTGAGAGCGGTTTCTAACAACCCTATTTTTTTCTTCCACCACATCTAGGCAAAAGACCTACAACAAGGAAACTCTTGCTCCCTAGTTAAGTGAGCTCCATTCTAACAGCCAGTCCCTGTTAGCAGAGAGTAGATATGGAGGTACAGCTGAGAGACAGTACACAAATCTTACTTGTTTTCTTTGACTAAATTGGAAACTTGCAATGTCAGCTAGCCCATGTCTGTACTTAACAGGCCCTTGATCTTGACTCCAATTATTATGACTTTTTTTTTTCTTCAGTCATGACACATTTATAATCAGAACCATTCTACCTACTGTACTTGCTTGAAAGTTTAACCAGAGATGGGACAGAATAGATTTTTCTTTACATCTATTAAAAACTCCAAATGGATTTCTGCCAAACTAAGACATCTTGAACCATTCAGTTCTGCTACAATCAAAATATCACCCAAGTAAATAATCATTCTTATCCTAATGACATTATGAGAGAAATGACAGGTCTGGTTACCATGGAGAACAGTCTTGCAAGAATGAAAAGACTGAAAGCTCTTGCCTCCCACCGATACTGCACTTTTGGGGAAAGCTTAGTTTTCTGTAATTGGGGTGCATAAGAACGATAAGGAAATCTTTGCTTAAATTGGCTTTTCACTATGAAATATCCCTTCTTGTCAGTCACCAGCAGATCTTTCAGAAAGTCCTCCTTAAATGAGTAACTGCACTGCATCATTCTGCCCACTGAATTCACCATTACAATGCTTTTGCTCTCATGAGGACAGAGAGGAACAAACAGCCTCCTTTGAGCAGCACTGGCTGGAAGTTCATTAGAGGAGGACCCTAGCCAAAAGTCTACAGTGATCTGCAATTAAATAAAACAACAGGCAGATTCCAAAATCTACTTAAATTCATCATTTTATAAGGCACCAAAATTGACCACAATGAAGCAACGAAGTCAACCAGATCCTGACCTCTTATAACCATCACAAGAAACTGATGCAGTAGAAACATCCAACTCACCCTTAATAGGTGACACTCCAGAGGAAGATTAAAAAAAAGCACCAAGTTACTTATTAATAACTACTATTCTATTTGGTTTGTTTTTTGCTTTTATCACTGTGTCAGGCAAGTGCCATCCAGAAACGCATTATGCTGCATAACAAGCATCTTTAACGGAAGATATCCACCATTTAATAAAATCAGCTCAACCTTGTACACATAAAGAAGAAATACTATGTCGTATAATCTTATTCAGTCCCTCTTCCTTCAATGGAATTGCATGAAATAAATGTCAGCATATCATTTAGTCCAAACTACATTTTCCAAATAAAAATAAGAATTCCCACCTTCATATTTCCTTTAGCCTTCTATGCTCCCACTTGAAAACTCAGTTTTTAAAAAGAATATGTTGGAAAATGTTGAATTATACCCTGTATACATTAATCATTCGCCAATGGAACTCTTGTCTGACAGCCAATCCAACAGTTGAACTCCAGAATATTATTTCAGCTAAAATTCATTGTTATACATTATAAATTCTTGATAATAACAGTAATATGTATAATGCACATTGTTGTAAAATTTTCAACAAACTTTTATGGCTTTCCTCTTCATATGAATACTCAGTCATCCATTCGTTCCTAGATGCACTTCAAGCCTGAAAAGAAAAATCAACAATTATTAAATTAACAATAAGGTCTGCAGTTTTTAATCTTCATTACCCAGTTACTACTGTATACTTAAGCAAAAATTCACATATAGGTTTCCTCGATACAGGAATGGATATTAAAATAACGTTGAGGTTTTCCAACAATTTAAATACAGCTGGATGAACATAACAGAGACACATACAGAATCACAGAAAAACAGGACTGGGAGGGACTCAATAAATCATCCAGGCAAGGTAGAATCATCCCTGTTTAAAGTAAAAAACTTCCAATGAAGGAGATTCTGCCACCTTCTTAAAATCTGTACTAGTGCTTGACTACCCTTCTACTTAAAAGTCATTACTCATATCTAACATAAATCTCTTCCATTCCAGTTTATGCAAACTATTTTGCCCCGTCTTTGATGAACACAGAAAACAATTTATCCCTATCCACTTCCTTACAACACTCTGTATTTGAAGATTCTTACCCTCTTCAGTGTTATCTTTCCTAGACTAAATAATCCCAATTCTTCCAATGTTTCCTCACATATCATGTTTTACAGACTTCTAATGATTTTTGTTTCTCCTTTGGATTATCTCTAAATTGTCTATATGACCCCTAAACTATAGTGCCTAAAACTGAACTTTACTTGAGACCTCAACAATATGTACTAAATATAATCACTTTTCATGACTTTAATATGATATTCTTGTTCATACATCAGCTATGTTTTTAGCTTTTTTTGCAACAATGCTGCATTATTGTTGAATCATGCTTTGTTTCTGAACCAGTAACCCAATGAATCTATAGTGGGAAAGGTCTCAAGGTTCTTTGTTAATATTTTAGTTTCTAGTTCCTGTGAATTCAATTTTTGAGCAGCTGCTTGATCCTTCTAAATTTGAGCTGCTTTGATTGAACTAGAGACATTCATACTGCAAGATCAGATAACTCTGGAGCAGGTTGTCAGTTCAAATATTCATTATTTTGATTTAAAAATTGTTTTCCAAAAATACTCTGCAAGATCTGATTAATATTTGCTGTTGGGGTAAAAAAATCTTGCCAGTACACTCACTCATTAGTACGTTGACAAAATATGAATATACAGAGCGTAATAAAAGAAATAATTCAAATCAGTATTTTTTTAATGTACACACCTAATTTTGATTATACTTCATTAGTAAGCTATGGAAAAAAGTTAAGACAGAGAAAGATTTAAAGATAACCTTTATGCTTGCTTCTGCAACGTAAAAAGATTATAAAGATCCTGTATTCCAACTTTTGCAAAGCCTTAAAAAAATTCAGAAGAGGCCAAAACTGTTGCCTTAAACATCTTGCCAGAATATGTGCATATATCTGGAAGCAAATTCTACTTACATATGTCTACTTTAATAACGTAAACTGTGTGAACTCAAGAAGGTAAGTCTGTTGTCAGGGAGCTATTATAAACAATCTGCTACAACTTTGTTTTTTTCAAAATGAGTTTGTCTCTCCAACTGACAAAGCATCACCTGCTCATTTTAAAACCTTAACCCAGTCCTGTATTACTGCTAGACATACTGTAACAAAGCTCTCAAATTTAAACAGACCAAGCAGCCCTTTATCTTCAAAACAATAAAAGACTCTGGAAAAGATGCAAAGTCAGTGAACATTAATAAAACCTGCTAACATTCTACTATATCACTTATTATTATTCACATTTAAACCAATATGTTATTAAAAATAAACTTGGTCTCTAAAGTAACATTTCACATACAATTCACAAGAGGTTGCAGATTCCCTAGAAACTCTGACCTCATTAAATGTAATTCAATCTTGTAAGCTTGGAGTGTTCTACCTACTGTTGACTCGGCCTCATCTTTGATGCATCTTGGAGACCGTCTTTTTGTTTAATCTCTCTTGATTTTATTTGAATTGCTTCTAAATTTCCATTTCATGAAGCAAATTTTCTTTGGCATAAAACTGAGCTAGCAAGCACTGATGCTATCGATGGTTTGTTTTGGTTTTTTTTGGAACTACACTCTGGAAGAAGACATCTTCCAGCAGTCTCATGCTATGCTAATATCTAAATACTGGACAATTCAACCCATTTTCTCTGTATACATTTACATGGTATGGTTATCTAACCTAAACAAGAAATGACTATGTCACAAAATCCTTTTAAATTAAACGTAACAGCCTTCAAAAGCCTCATGGGTTGTCTCTCAAAGTAAAACCTCCTGTGACTTGTAACTGTTTCACTTCTCCACGTTTTTCATTGGTTATTTCTTCACACACACATCCTAAAGTGCAACTTGGCTTCACATTATCCGTGAATACTCAAAGTCCTATTAGTTCACTGTGGCTAGGGTAATAAAGAAAACAAGGAGGGAGATGTTTTTCAAAACTGCTAACGTGCAGCAATCTCACAATCATAGCTGCACTTGTTTTACATTATTAAATAATGTACAAAGGCCCTCCTGGTAAAAAGGCTACTTCATTAACAATGATGAATGATTGGTGTTGCTTATAAATTCCCCTATGCATATTTAGTCAATTTACTAAGCTTTGAATTGTTAGCTCTTTCCCACTTTTAGACTCATACCAGTCTTCTTCCGACACCTTTTATATGCTTAAGCTCCTAAACAATTTCCTAGTGGCCCAACTCTTCAACCAACAATAGAAACACTAGCAATACTGGTTTTCCTAAACACTGCTTCATTGTTGTGCACCAATCCACACAGTTTAGGGTAAGTGGGGAATTAATTATCTGGGGCCTAGTCAGTTCTTGGCCTGCCTAATGGAATTGCCAATAAAGGTGACAAATACCATCAGTTGTGATGTGTTGTGGATAACTGCTATCAAGCTCAGTTGATATAGGCTATAGGAGAGCCATCAAGATGTAGGCTTGAATTTCAACTGAAGATAAAGGGCTGGATGTTTATTTGCAATTTCCCATCATCTAGTAACCCATCATTCTCTGACCTGATTCTCACTGGTGCTGAGTAGCTGCAAATTCTCCCCAAAACCACTTTGAAATACCTATGAAAAATCACTGACCTATGAAAATTCATAGGTATTTAAAAAAAAAGAAAAGTCAAACCACTTCCCTTTAGCAAATCCAAATCATATCCCCTTTGTTAAATATGTTATCATCTGAAACGCATCCTAGATTTTATAGAGAATCTATTCATCCAGGTTTTAGCAGGCCTATTGTGAATGACTGCTTTACTTTTAAGTAGTAAATTGAACATGGTGTAAAGTACAAATGGGAGCATTTGCCTCCAGTCTGTTCTCTGCAAAAGGGCTTACAGTACCAGAAGGATATGTCCATGACAAGATGAGAGGACTGAAAGTCCATTTGATCCAAGACCTTTAATGACTGAAGGCTCTTGAAAGGAATCACAAAGCAAAGCCTGTAACTATGATGAAATCAGTCTCAGACTGATGAAAACTGGCATAAAGCAAATGTGGAGTCAAAATTGCTTTCCAGCCAAAAGCTTGCAGTCTTCATAAAAGAGCTTCAGAATTCTAAAAATTTATAAAACAGTAACTAATTCCTGCATAACATAGCCATAAAATCTTTACCCTGTGTCAAAGCAAAGCGAACAAGAATTGAGCTATTCAATTCTTCGAGAACTCGTAGGTACCAGAATAATATGTAACAAAATACGCTACAAAGATTTTTGTTTAAATGACATGTTTTTGTCTTCATGTATAAAATATGCTTAAAAATATAAAACCATGAACATTCATTCATCTAAATGCAACACATACAGAAAAAATAAAAGTGCACTTTATAAAGTACAGAGGGTTTTTTTAATATCAAACCATTTAGAAGAACTAATAGCACAGTTACAGGATTTCCCCTGTTAAGTCCCACTCTTACTGATTTACAAAGATACTCTTAACACACAACTCAGCCTACAAACATACGCCTATCAGAAGGTTTAGATGAACAGCCCATTGAAGCAGAACCAGAACGAGGCTCAAGGTTACAAGTAAAAAGTATTTTAAACAGTACACTGATACAAAGCTGCTTCCTTCAATTGAAGGTGCATACCCACAACTGATCAATCCACTCCACAATTTAGGATTGGGTTTGTGTTCCTGGCTGATGCTAAATTCTCACATAGTAATACCTACATGGAACATCTACCATCTTCAGTTGGCAAAGAGACTCAGTACCATCCTGATGGAAACTGACCTACCTTTAATAACATTAATCCATTACCTCCCAGCTAAACCAGAGAAAATGCCAACTGCCTAGGCACAAAAATTCAGGCCTTAGAGAAGTTCAACTAGTTCATGACATCGAAGTGCACCTTCTCATCAAAAACTAAAATGAGCTTTTTAGATCTATCTTACAGTCTCTGGCTTCCCATTCAATAAAATAAAATTCAAAATGTCAGCCCTTATCTTGACTACGCAGTGATCTAGCCCCAGAGGCATAGTGATCTCCAGGCATCCTGGTTTTCTCTGATAAAAAATATCCCCGATTTTCTAATAAAAAATATTAACCCAAAATCCAGTTTTCCATGATTAAAATGAAATACCACTGATAGATAGATAGATAGATAGATAGATAGATAGATAGATAGATAGATAGATAAAAATGTGTATTTTGAATTATGTTTTTAAATCTGAAAATTAGGTTTTTTTTCTTATCAGAGAAAACCAGGTTCCCTGGTGACCTCTTTCAGCCCCCAGGGCACAGGGGAGATAAGCAGTTGTCCACAGGTGAAGCTCATTTGAGCAGAAGTTAGTTTTTTTGGAGGCCCATCTAGGATGACAGTAGGAATTCCTGCACCATCTCAGAAGTGACTCAGACTTCTTCACATTCCATTGTAAACCCAAGATGCATTTCTTTGGCTTTGTCTTCAATAAAAAATACAGAGTTGAGGACAGAGAAATAAAAATATAACTTGTAAACCAACTCGTATATTTTCCCTCAAGGGGAAAAGGAAACCACATGTGAAAATTGCTAATCAAGTTACTTAATGAACCTCTGAAAGGTGCACTGGGAGGAGTA